TCCTAAAGGAAAGGTTTTGCCAACAGTCTATGTTCAGTTTTGAGTCCTGTGCTATAAGAACACACTTACCTACTATCCTACGCATAAGAGAAGTCCGATCTGAATCCAAATCCTTTTTAAAGCTTTCCACTGGCGACGTTCTTCCTGAACTTGGATATAAAGATGCATGCCACTTCTCTGGATCCCACACACCATCACTAAGAAAACAAAATTGCAGGATTTTTTGCTACTGGTACTCTAATTCATAGTACCGCTGCTGAAAGCCTAGAATTCACTCACTAGCAATCTCTACAAGTGAAACGTCTTTCATACCCAACTTGTAAACCTTTGCCTTACTATACCTCATACACGGTATTCCAGATCCCTTCTGTAACAGCAAGGTGGTGTAATACCCAGCATCAGATTATAAAAGGGACAATGTATGGACATGTTGCTCCACTAGTTATTGGTGAATTTTGCCTGGCACACTGAAACATAGCTCAAAGTAGATCATATGCCACTGCTCTTTAGCATTCAAAAAGTTTTACCTCAATCTCATACATACTTGTACAATAATCCGAATAGTAGAGATACTGCTGCTTAGCAAGCTTACAAACACAAGCCAAGAACACTCGTGCCTTCATTCTTACATGAGGTACACTCTCAACATGGGAGAGTAATCCATCAAGCAAGTCAGCTTGTTGCAACATGACCTAGTCTGTGCTATAGAGCCATCTATATTCTTGATAATTTTTCCTGCAAGCCTGTAAGACTTGTGTTGCATGACGTTATTTTCTGCTGGATCTCATGTTATAATCTTTGTTCAAAGCATAAAATTTCTAGCTAAAGCATTAAGCCTTTACTAGCAGATTTGTATTTCTGAAAACAGTCATCAACTACGCTCAGGAGCACATAAATCTTCCATCAACATAAGTGCACTTCTTCACCAATTGAAACTTTTATTTTGAAATAAATTCATATAGTTTGTGTAATTAATAGAATACCTGTCATATTTTTCAGAAAGACAAGAAGGTCTCTGCTTAGAGTAGGGACGCTCTTTAATATCCAGCAGTTCCTCCTAGAAAAAGCAAGAAATTAGTTCCAATTCTCACACAGATAAGAGTAAAGTAACCCAAAATATCTGTTCCAGACAGCCTGTTCTATTTAGTGTTTTGACAATGCAAGTTTCCCAGTATGTTTCATTTCCTGTGAAATACTATAGTGAAAAGTCGACATTAGACAACAAGATTATTTTTCAGTTCTTCTAGCAGTGGCCACTGAGCAAACACTTATTTGAAGCACTAAGGTTTACCAGGTCAGGTTCAGTCCTTATTAACACTTCAAAGGCTGTTCACATCATACCTGTTTACCTACTGGCTTCCCTGGACCATTCAACTTATAAACAAGGCAGGCATCATTGATACTGGAGCTAGTCAGTTCAAGATGGAATCAAAATCACTGTTTAATGCTACATAAGATTCAGCAGGTAGAAGCAGCATTACCACAACACCAGTCACTAATGTAGATCTAGAAATTCCAGACAAGCTTGCCATTTCTTAATAATTCCAAGGTATCCAAGTGTATGTTATACAATTATTCACTCTACCCAACACCAAAACAATGCTGAATGATTACTTCAGTTTTCCTACTTTTTACAGCCTTCAAATACAGTCCTTACTTTACCTTTACATGCCCCAAATAGACAGTCATTTGGGGCAGAAATAAGTCAGTCTACAGCCTCACTGCAGTCTGCTAGATTTAAAAAATCATTATTAATAGTGTGATCATCAGCACTTTGAAACATCATTAACTTGGCTGCAGTCAAGATGTGCATTTCTAATTAAACTTATTCATTCTCCCTAGATTACCTTTCTTCAGTCTGCCTCACTCCCAACTGCACTGAATTGATTCAGAGCTGTGCAGAAATCAGTGGGCAGCTGGAAGGATAAAGCCTAACAGTGGACATCACACATCAACCAAACTGAAGAAGGAAAACTCTCCACCTTTTTCCCAAGAATACAGTATCCTCTAGAACTTTCATATTATTACCATGTGATTAAAATCAGCTCATAAGCTATGCAAGCTTGATACTTCAAAGTTTCCAGATGGCAGCTTGGTAACCAGACAAAATCTTAATGTACACACACATACGTATCCAAGCATCACCCTGTACTAGCCTTCAGCAAAAAGGGAGGGAGACTGGCCTCTGCCCGCAGCTTCCCAAAATAAACTTTGATCTATGAGGAACATCAGTGCTGTAATACTATCATAAAAGTCTGATGCAGATATCACAAGTATTAACTGCACTGTCCATCACCAGACATGAAATTGTCTGGTTTGTTGGCCACGAGAGGGAGTCCAGAGACTCTCAGTCAGATCCTATTGCAATTCTTCCATTGAAGTGAGGAAAATTTGAACTGTTTCTTGGCTTACACTCATTAGCTGTCCACCCTTGGAGCAACAGCTTCCAAAGAACTAGAAAAGGCACAGCTTGGACTATATAACACTCCCATAATAGAGAAGATTAATACTGGCACTTCCAGAGTGTGTTTTGGGGGTTGTGTGGTGGGGTTTTGTTTAATTCACACCCTACTACTTTTAAGTGGGTGGGGGAAAAGCATGTTTATCTGTTAAACAGGTTTATTTGAATAGTTTAGAAAGATTCATAGTATGAACCAATTGTTTTCCTGCCAGTAGTAAATGAATATGAACTGTTAAAGGAAACCAGTCCCTTTCTAAATGAGCAGCACATGTCCCAAAACAGTGTTCCTCCAATCTCTAATTAGCAGAAAAATTGACCATGTGAAAATGCCTTACAATGGTGATTACATGAGCCCCTTAAACCAGCTATATTTAAGATGCTACTTGTAAAAAAACCCCAACCCATTATGCAAGATATTTTAACACAGATTGATTTCTGGTGTTTTTTGACTTTAGACTCCTTGGAAACTAAAAGATAAACAAGACTAGATGTCTTCTGGCACTAGTTCTGCAACTTCATCCTGATCTGAAACTATAAGTACTGAATTAACAAAACTGAAGCTACAAATGCATCAGTTTCAGCATACTGCTACCACCAGCACTAGCTGAATACTGCCTAAAAAGGCAAGCAGAATTTGAAGCTGCATTCAGTTACTACTCTTGAGAGGATCTGGACAAGACTGAACAAGTATAGATACCACTTTTTCAGCAGCAGTTAGACAGCTCCTCTCCTTCACTTTACAGTTAATCGAACAACAAGGTCTGAACCATAGTATACTTTAGAAAGTCAAGTGCACATATTTTCTAAGAAGTTCAGGAGAACTAGAAAGCCATACTACTCCCATGTAAATTTTGCCAGTCCTGAAGTACTTGGTTTATTATGTCTAGTTAAAATAGGCTAGACCTACTATCTCAAAAGAACAGAAGCACTGTGATAATTTTTTTTTTCTTTTAAAAAACAACCTACTAGGAACCTAACAGTTCAGAATTCCTCCAGTAAGATAACACAGTCAGTAACAGTACACTGTCTCACCCTATTACACACTTCAGGCCATTTGTTGCAAAGTATCTTAATAGATTTCCACAAAGCAAGGACCAGCTGTTCCCACAGCCTTCATCAATGGGAAAATCAGCCACCATTAAAGACTCTCTCTAAAAGCATGTTTCAGCAGTGGTACCAAAACCCCAAATAAGATTTGAACCTTAAAACCCACAGCCTATCAAATTCACTTAGTATCGAAAGAATCTTTATTTGCAAGTTATTTAGTTATTGTTCTTCCATTCACACATATATTTAGATATCACCGCTAAACAAAAACACCTACATTAAAGTTTTAACACTAAGCATTGGTCAGAGTTGTTAAGTTCTTAGGCTTCCAGCAGCCAAATATGAGCAATTCCAAGAATACAAAATAATGTGGTAAACACGTTAAAACTCCTGATAAAATCTGGTGTGCTATATGTACCAAGGAAGTTGCACCTAATATAAGAAAATATTTTAGTCAACTTCTTAAAGAAACATTGCTGGAAGTGGAACTAGAACTGTCAAGCCCAAGTGCTTGAGGAAGCTGGTAGAACAACATACTTCAGGCTCCACCATAATCTCTCCAGCACAGGCTGTGAGGTGCTCAGATATTAAAATAAGGTGGTGGGAATCAAAAGTATATCAAGTACAGGACTGCACAGCTACACGACGTTTAATAAACTGCTCATTTCAAACCACCTTGCAAATCCTAATCCAGGCAAAGTCTTCTCAGCCTTCACTTCACTGCTTCCCTCTCACAGAAGCCTCCACCTCCCAACTCTACTCCTGTGCCCAGGAGCTCCAAGCCCAACTTCAAGAGGAAAGGGAAGAGAGCTAACCTTTGTGTAACGATGTGGGTATTTTGTTGCAATTCTGTTCAACTCCAGGAAAGCGTCACCATTTTCAGTTTCAGTTATGCCTCCTCTTTTATCCATGATTACTTCAAAGCCTTTGATCACGGACCTAATTAAAACAAACCCAAGCCATCAGATCTCGAGACATGCGTTTCTAGCGGCTGCATTTTCCTCCCAGCCTAAGACTATTTAGTACTTAGATACACGAGATAAGACGCGCATTCCCCAACACTACCTTTTTTCTACCTGTAGCTTCCCCCACTCGAGCCAAGCAGCTCTCGCCGAAACACTGAACCCTTCTCCCGCAGCCCCGCCAGCCCTGCCCCACGCCCCGGGACCGGAGCCCAGCCCCTAACCAGCTTTAGCACAACTTTGTGGTTGGCTTTTGTTTGTGTGTTTGGGTTTTTGTGTTTTGGTTTTTTTTTACCTTAAATCTTGCTTATAGAAGGGTCCACTCTGGATCTCACACTTAGAGATTGCTGGTTGTAAATCCAGATGCTTTCACAGAGTCTTACTCTCCCTGAGACCTGGGGCAGGTGGAAGGTTCAGCGCATATGGAAGTTCTCCCTGGATGAAATTCATTATTGTCTTCATTTCTGTGTGCTTGTGAAGGGAGAGGAGCCTAGAGTTAAAAAAAAAAAAAAAGTACTGATTTTGTCACCCTTGATTATTAATTATTTCTAAATACGGCAACAATAATTTGGGGTAGCCTTTTTTAGCGTCTTCCTAGCATAGCTAGGCACACTTGCTGTTTTAGGATTCAAATGGTTATGGCTTTATTACTAATAGATTATGTCAGCACAGTATCATTCAGGTCATCAAGACTGAGTGTACAGACACATGCTTTTCATGTTAAACATCTAGAGTTGCATTATGCTATTTGCATGCACATCGAGTGAGTAGAATTCCTGTCATTGTTAAGATACAGACTGTATTTAGCATAGATCCATTTAATGATTCATCACAAGTAACAGGAATCAATTTATGCTTTGTCCAAAGCCAGTATACAACACTGCAGTGCAGAGAGTGCATTTGTTTACTGCAGACTTGGAACTGTAGCAAAATGGAGAAATCCAGAAGCAGGTAAGCAATAATAAGATGCTACGTTGTTAAAGACATCAGCTGTATGTATATATATATATATATATATTTATTTAATTTTTTAGTTATGGCATCTTAAGCATTCCATGGGTTATTAACCAGAAGGTGTTCCTCTTAAAAACACAAAACAACAAACACACCACCCCCAAACCCATCGTGAAACACAACTTTATGTGTGTTTACATTATCATAACATTCAAATATAAAAATTATGTTCTTGAGCTTGAGGTAGTTGACTGGAAAGTATTATGTTTGGATATAGTTCTTGGCCAAACCACAGATATATTCTGTGGTCTTAGTCGCTTCTCTTCCCATGCTTTTATTTTCTAACTTCACAAGGGAGACATGATCCTTCTTTGAGTCCTTTTTTTTTTGTGGTTACTTGCCACAAATTCTCGTAGACAGGGGCTGTTGTCACTGAATACGTGTAGCACATATTGCAAAATGTTGCAAATTTAGGAATAATCTATTAAAAATTACTTATGTTGCAAAATCATCAGGTATTCACGTGCCTTAGACTGTAATACAAAACTTTTACATGTTCTACCAGAGCTTGATTTTTTGACTACATTGTCATTGCCTACGGTCAGACCAGGTTTGCCTTTGGAGCAGATTAGATGGTTTTAAAGGGGATTGGGCCTAATAGACATATATAGGAATTTGTGCTGAAAGCTGTTTTGCAGAAATTTAAAAGTGCCTGAAACTGTTCTTCAAAAGTGCATACAGTTGCCTTAACTGCACATCTTGACATGAACAGAATTCTTTCATCTGCCAGATGGTCCCCATGTCTGTCAGAATACATTCGAACAATATTTTATAGAAGAACAAGAATATATATCTCTCTCACAAAATATATGTCTTTTTTTCTTTCATTAGCTTTGTTTTAGCTCTTCACAGCTTGCTGGAACAAGCCAAAATACTGTAGTTCCTCCTATGAGGTGGGGGTTTTTGGTGTGTGTGCAATGTTTTTGTTCCCCCTTGCCCCAGTGATCTGTTGTTAATACTGTGAGGGGTTATTCAGCTGAACTCCTGAAACTTACTACTATGGATTGTTCCAGTAACTTGGTGAAACCAACATTTTTTCTGGCCACAGCCATGTTTTTCCTAGCTCAATTCAGGTGATTATTAGGGTCAGACTTCAGACTATCCTTTTCTGTTGTCTGTTAGGGAGTTCAAGAATGTGTTTGTGGTTCTACTGTGCAAATTTTCAGGGTGGTGGCAGTATTTGTTTTGGGAAAGAAGCTTCAATACAACTGGTTCAGCAAGTTTTATCTGGTTAGATTTTTTTTATCATTCTTGTTTTCAGAAAATCACTGAAATACAAAATACTTAAAACTCATAAAAACATACTAGTTATTTTTCAGATTAGAAGTACATGTGAAAGTGAACTGTATGATGGAAAAATATGCCTAATTTTGTTTTTTTAATGATGAATGTGTAAAAACAGGAAGGGATTTTTAGTTTTTTTAAAGACGAAACACATTTAGTTAAAATATGAACAAAACTAGGAAAGAGTTCCTTGTAAAAGAACTGTGTATGTAAGTGCATTTCATGATAAAACAGTAAATTCTTACTTCAGTTCCCTAGTCCTCAAGGCAGTTTTTCAGCAATGGACGGAATACCTTGATATGTTTGAGAATAAAAGGCAGAAAACCATGTTCAGAACCTTCTCTGTAAAGGCACATGGCATGCACACACATGGGAGGGGAAGCATTTTCTGCTTGCCTTGAGGAAGCAACTTTAAAATTCCAGATAGTGAAAAATGCCTGATAAGGAGACAATAAATGGTTTTAACATTTTGTAGCCGTCAACTTCTATATGTGATTGTATACCTTTGTTATAGATTAATTTATTGAAATAATGCCACTTCTTTGCAGTTAATGTAATTGCAGCCAAAAATATTTCTTCTTGCCTTTTAAGTTCAAAATCTCTGAAGATTCATGAAACTCGACAGCTACCTAGGCATCAGATGCATGCAACTGGGCAATCTGTTGCTCCTCAGTCTGCCATACATCAGTTTCAGGATAGAAGTCATGAGGATCTGGATCAAGTTGGGTATACCTGGCATCAAAGAAGAAGGTTAAAAGAATTCCGAATCAGGTGATAAGTACAAAACATAATTCTCACTGAATGGGGCAGGGGGATCAGACCTGAAGTCGTCTGGTTTTAGTAGTACAAGTGTGGGCTAAGGCAAGGGTTTTTATTCACAGACATGTCAGACAGTTCTGAAGATGTCTTGTGGTAACTTGACGACAGGCACAGTCAGATTTCATACTTTTTTGATGTTTAATTTAAAATTTTTAAACGGCTATTTAACGGTGTTTTGATAGGGAACCGCCAGGTCTAATGACTTAGTCTTGCCCTCCTCTTGTGTTTCTTTACTTGTTTCGTTTGTTGAAGGGATCTTGACAAAGGTGGGATGGTAATTGTTTAGAGATGAAAAGCCTAGTATTTGTTGAACAAGTGGAGCTGATCTAGCAGCTCCGACTTGCTGAAAGAGGGAGGCCCTGGTCATGGCTGTGTGCTTTAATTAATTACCTTGTGATGTCATTGGTGCTTATTGGGGCTCTCTGTGTGCCAATTAACTCTTAAATCCGTTTGAAAAAAAAAAAAAAAAGTGATAGAATAACAATCACAGATTAGCAAGTTGAACTGGTGCTAGGAGAAGCTTGCTGAGAAGTAAAACTGCAGGGGGGAGGTAGGAGGATCTGCTGGTTTCAGGCAGCGGTACACATTGGATTAAGTCAATTATTCTGGCAACAAGTCTGACAGAGCTGGTTGACTTCAGGGAAACAGTGATGTTACAGCTTCTAAATCACAGAAAGGCTCCCCAGTTAAACAGCAACCTGCTCATTAGTATCACTGGGTGTGAGTGGGCTGCTTGGAAGACATTTCAGCTGCCTAGGTTTCCTAAAGAAGTATGTCCCAATTAGTCTTGCAATGATGCTTGGGCCTCTATTTATGCTTGGTGAATAGTCCTGTTAAAGGTACTGATTTCAGGGTGTAAATATTTTGTATATGCATTTATCTCTGAAAACCAGACCCTTAGTTTTATTGCTGAAACAAGCATAAAAATGCCTATTTTTACTGCTGCATGGGAGTTAACAGAGGAAGACTACAAAAGCAACTAACCTTTCCTTATATTCCAGATATCTAGCAAGGAAATTCTTTGATCTGTGGGCAAAAAAGACATTTGGACAAGTTGTCCCTTCCAAAGCCAGGTAGATAAAATTACATAAACCAATGGTGGGGTGTTTTGTGGGTTTGTTTTCTTTTTCTCTTTTTTTTCTTTATGGATTAGTGCTGTACCATTAGGCTAAGAGAGTACTGGCTGCCAAAAAACTGTTTCGATGTCTTTTGAGATCAATTGAAGGTTTCCATTGAATACCCTTCTTGCTCCCACTTTGTTTTTAATAATCATGGTTAAACTTTGCTAATAAAAGTCATAGGAATTGTGGTTGTCTTGATGAAGTTGAACTGTATGTGCATATAACTGATGGGGTATGATTGTGAGACCTCCTTTAAATTAATCATTTTTCAAAGTTATGACTAGAGATAGATCCTGAAATTCAGTTCATTTTACTGTTTGCACTATTGTTCTTAATGTATATCTATATATGCTTTCTATCTGTCTGACTTTGAAATCTCTGTGGCAGATGATTTGATTCTGTTAGTGTTCTGTCAGCTACTGAAAATCAACACTTTGATACTCTTTCTTGTTTTGCTTTAATTTTCATGTTCATTCTTGTTTGACCACACCCTTGGGAACTGAAGCAGTTCCCAGTGGAAAGACCTGCATTTGTTACCGTCAGAGTAAGATCAGGCCCTCAGTTATCCAGTTTCATTGTGCTGGATCAAATATATTCTGACTGTGTCTGCCTTAGTTGGCAAACGGAAATTGTCCTGTGAACCTTACCATTCTTGCTATCCCGTATACTGAATTTGCTCTTCTTTGGTGTAAGTTAAGGATAGTGATTTTTGTTTGTTTGTTTGTTTTTTCAGGAGGATGAGTGGAAACACATTTTATAAAGTTCAGCAAGGAAAATAAACAATAATTAATTGCCTTTTTAGACATGAGTGTCCCTATAGTTCTCCATAGCTTTTATTTGCAATGTTCTGTTAATGCACCAAGTAAAAAAAATAATGTATAGCTCATTTTTCTTTTTTTTTTTTTTTCTTTTCTGCTTGAGTGCTTGGAATGACTTAGCAACTTGGCCTGGGGTAGGTAGTTATGAATTGCAACTTGTGACAGGATTCATATGTGTTTCACTGAGGGACCTCTAGGTATTCTAGACTTAATCCTGTTGTTGTTATAGACATGACCAATTACATTAAACTAGTGGGATAGCTGTGATCAAAGGTTGTGGTCTGAGCTTGTAGTTTTTTTGTTTGTTGGCTTGTATGTTTTCATGGGTCCTTCTGTTTTCCTTCTCTCTATCACAAATACAAAGAGATGAGAAATTTTTTAAAAGTATTTGTACTCCAGGTGATGAGAATTTCCAGTTCTTAGGCTGCTGTCCAGGTCATCTTGACCACATGGAAAAACGTTTGAGAGAATATTTTGAAGTTAAAAAAAACCCCAAACCAAACTTGAAGTAGTAGATTATGACTCATTATTTTTAGTTAGGTGATCAAAATCCTATTTCCCTCATGCAGACCCTCCTATATTTGAATTTTTAGTTCTTCACAATTCATTTGAAATGTAGCTTCACTTCTTAGCTGGTTAGGTATGTGTTAATTAAATTTGGGTATAAAAGCAGAGACTGTTTTACTGAGGTTGAAGAATTTGAAGATCTAATGTGACTTGTGAATCCATTTTGTACATGGCTTAGCATCTGTTGGAAGGAGAGGGTACGTGCAGATGAACAGCTTCATTTTCAGTATAGATGATGTGTAACTATTTGAAGTTCTTAAGCCTATTTAAATGTTCATTGGGAAGATTTTAAATTTGGGATGACTTAAGATCAACATGCTGTTTCTAAGAACAATGGAAATATCAAAGCATTATAAAATCTGAAGTAACTTTTGTATGTATTTCTATACATAAAATATTTTGTGTTAAAATAACAAAGAAAAAATATAGCACGGAAAATACATGTATCGCTATCAACTGTGCTGGTTGTTTGAGTAAAACACAGAACTGAGGATAAAAGATGCGAGTTACTTGTAGGGCTGAAGTCAACTGGCATTCTGATACTTGGCAAGTCAGTTAACATCTGTCTTGATTTAATGTGAAGTATTTACAGTCAGTAAGCTGATTGCTTCTTGTCATGCTTTACAGAGTCTTGGAATAAAATGTCACAGTAGGGTCATGTTTTTTAAATGCAGTTAGATGCTGTTAGGCTAATCAGACAAGGCTGGAAAAGAGGTAGCATAATGTTCATTAGGACTAATTTGTGGTCCACCTGGAAACCTGTATGAAGTTTCCCATGTCCAAATCTTTCAACTGTTTAGATGCTTTTATGACCAGAAGGTTCTTCAAAAAACTTTTGGAGAGTGGAAGGAGTCGTGGACTGTTTGCAGAGAAAGGGAGCTCAGCCTCGGAGCAGACAGCCGTTACAGGTTTGTGAAATGACTTCCTATGGTGTGTGTACAGCAGTATGGGAAATTCTCCTCAGGTTCTGAAGGAGTTATCAGTACCAATAAGCAAGTTACATCAACAGTACCTCTAGGTCAAGAACAATGTCTCAATTGCTTATTTTCATATTTTTCTTCCCCCTTTCTTTTTTTGTTGCTGTTGTCTTAGGATGAAGACTAAATTTCCTATCCAATATATCTTTAGAGTGCAACTGAGCTTGAAAAAAATCCTACTTCTAGACATCAGAAGCTGTTTCACTGAATGGTGTGTTTTTCATTTTTCAGGCATTCGCTCCATAATTTGATATTCAAGGCTTGGAGAGCCTATGTATGTCAGCAACAAGGAAAGAGGAACAAATACTATGTTGCAGAGTCCCATGGTGAGTGAAGTGATGGTAACTACCTTTATTTGGGAATATACTGAGATGGAAGTTTCTAAGGGAAATATGTACAGAATCTCTGTCCCTTGTACATGCTCGCAGAGTGACCTCCCTCACCTCATGGAAGTGTAATGTTTTTAGGTACAGATGGTTGTGTCTAAAGCTGGCGGGGAGGTTCTGTCTGATGCACTACTTGTGTAGCTATATAGTTATTTAGGGATGCCAGTGAATAAGCTTAAGGGCCTCTCCATCTGCTCTGGATTTCATTGTTTGTTTTGAGGGGGGGTGATTTGGTTTGGTTTTTGGTTTTGTGTTTTGTTTTTTTTGTGGTGTGGGTTTTTTTAAATTTATCACAATATGTCTAGATATTTTTTGATAAACTGTGTTACTGAAATACTCTATCATCTGTGGCTACAGAAATTAGATAATAATTCCCTGTGGTATTAACTGCACATATTTTATCAGTATTCACTATTCCTTCCAGCTTGTGTCTTGCAATTGAAAAGAAGCCCAAGCTTTTAAAGTGCCCCATGTCTTATAGTGTAGATTCTTTGTTCTGACATGATTTTGTCCTGCTGATGAAGTTGCCTACCTTGGTTGCAACTTTTTTTTGTTTCGGGGAGTAGCCCTTTCCCTGAAGGAGAGGATGACCCTCTTTTGAAGATGATACTGTGGTTTTGTTCTGTGCTGATTTGCAAAATAAGTTAACTGGTCCTCTTGCATATGAATGTAGCCTCAGAATGTTATATGGATTTGCACCTTTGGAAACAAACTGATAGGCTGTCCTGATTTCCTTTCTTACTGAGGCAGCGTACTTACAGAAGCAGCTGTGTGTTACTTGGTGGAAAAGATAGAAAGGTGACCTGTTTTAAGATAACAATATTTGATTCACCAGATCACAAGGAAATAAAAAAACTTGTGGTGTTTTTTTTAGTATAAGTGTGAAGTGGCATAAAATCAATGATGTTTTTTCAAATAACTTCAGTAATGTCAGTTCTGACAAGCCAGACTGTTGTGAGGAAAAAGTGCAGTGCACTGCATAAAGTGGTAAACTGGAATTTGTGACACCACTTCTGTTTTTAGCAGTATGACCAGCCTGCTAAATAAACTTGGCTTGTTTCTGGTTGATTTCTCTGCTTGTCATAGAGAGTAACTCTTGAAAAGCTACTGATGAACCTGATGAACTTTTTTTTAAACAAACCAAAGAAAATCCTGTAATTCTTACCCAATAAGGTTGTTACGCTGAATGTTGTTATACAATTATATACCCTGTAAGCACTGAAGACAAAGCAATGCCATTGTCTGATAATTCACGCTGCTCTGAACAAGTGGCATGATGCTGTCAGCGTTTCAGAGATTCTTGCCCGTGTGACACCCTCAGCCAGGGTGGTCGGTCGCACCCGCGGCTCTGGTGGATGTTGTTTCAGGGTTTCCCACGAGGTGTCACTGCGGGTTGCGAGGGGACAGGAGGTCGGGGACAAGTGCTGTTATAGAGTGGTGAAAAAATGCCAGATTCTTGCATGAATTTAAGATGCTGTCATTTTTTTTGTTGTTGTTGTGCACAGCAAAGAAGCAAAGATTGCTCAGGACCTGGCAGCACTGGCTGGTTTATGTTGATGTTAAAAGGACGAAACGTGTGATGCACTCTGTGGCACTGGCATTCAGGGAAAGAAGCTGTTTGCGGTGAGGCAGAGAGGCTCTGAGCATAAGGCCACGGTCTCTACCTGTGTTCTGTTACACTTTTTGTGAAGTGAATTTGTTATGTTTTATATATTTTATATTCCCCCCGCCCCCCCTCCCCTTTTGGTGTGTCTGCTTGTCTGTCTCTGAATTCTTCTGGTATGCCCATAGACTTGAATTTAAAGATTGTTGTTCATACCTTTGTCCAGTGAGAGGAAGGTGATTTCTTGCAGCAAACTATGGAACCTGTGTTTGAGCATGTCTGTAACATTTTTTTGACAGCATATCGTGGGCAGTGTGGAAAAGACAACACTACCAGATCTGTACTGGACATAAAATGAATATTTTGGCTCTGCAGCATTGGGCCCAGAGCCTGCAATCTCGAGTAAGTCCCGGGAGCTTCAGCTACTACAATTTTGAATGTTTGAGTTGCACACATGTGTGATTAATGTTGCAGATTAATAAAAAGTAGGCCTTATACTCATTTGCTTTGCAAATTGCAGTACTTATGATGGAAGAATATACTAGAAAATGAGGAAATGGAATAAAGCTGCATCAGGGAAAGTTCAGATTGAACATTAGGAAAAGGTTCTTCACTGAGAGGGTGATCATGTTCCACCTGGGAAGTGGTTACAGCACTAAGCCTGGCAGAGTTCAAGGAGCATTTGGATGATGCTCTTAGTCATGTGGTTTAGTTTTACGCAGTCCTGTGAGGAGCAAGGAGTTGGGCTCGGTGATCCTTGTGGGTCCCTTCCAACTTGAGATATTCTATGAAGGTCAAAACAATTTTTTATAAGAAGAATTTCTATACAATAAATCTAGACAAAGCAAACAGGATCTATGGCTTATATTTGCTAGGAAGAAGACTGTCCAAAGCAAATATTACTGTCTTTTACAATGCTTGATGATAATGAAAGTATCAGAGTTCTCTCCACCAGAGAAACTAGCCACAGGTGGTAAATAAGAGGTGGAAGAAAACAGGTGCATGAGTTTGCAGGTGTGGCATTTTGAGCAGGGCATGAAGGGTAGTTGCATCCAGCTCTCTAGAATGCTGAACTCCACAGAGGTCCAATCTGCTGTCCCGTTAGGAGGCAAGATTGCACTGGTCAGCTGTTTGACATCACCTTGTCTCTTTGTAAGATAACATTTCTTATGTCCTAATGAATTTCTGTGAGCATGTTTAACTCTTATTTTGGGATAAGAAAATATAGTCCAGCATTTCATGGTCTCGAGAGGCTGTCAGCTCCTTCAGTAAATTGGTCATCTTGGCTGAAGTGAGACCAGCATGGCTTGCTTTCTTTCACTGGAACTATGGCTTTTTGTCCATTTGATTATAAGATGTCAACACTTGCCTGTTTGAGGCCAGTATTCTACTAAGGAGATAAACTTGTGACTTGGGAAATCTTATCATATCTCAAGATGTGTTTCTCTTTTATATGAAAATACTCTGAAAGCCCAAAAAGTATTATTTTGGCCTTTCAATGGAAAAAGTGCAAAAGTATAAAAAAAAACCCAAAAGGTTGATATTGGCATTCTTTGTTGATTGACCTTTTTTATGCTGACATTCCTTTGGCATTTGTTTGTTGTTTCCCAATCCCCCTGCCCCTTGTGGGGAGGAACCACATTGCTCATGGCTTTCACCTTTAGATTTTACATGGAATTTCCTATTGCCTGTGTGTTCTTCCTCTTCTCTTCTTTGTTCTACTTCCCTAATGTGCCCTCCCTCCTCGATTGTTCTGTCAGGCTTGGTTGCAGTGGCGAGAGCTGTATTTATACAGCCAGAACGACAAGCAGAAGGAGACTAGGGCAGTAACTCACCATCAGCACTGGGTGTTGAAGAGATGCATGGAAGCATGGCTGGGATATTTAAACCTCCACAGAGCAAAGAAACTTCAGAATGGTGAGTTAGGACAGAACAGGGCTCAGCCCCTTTGCTTTAGGGCACAATGATATTTTTTTCTATTCTAGGAGATCCTGTAATGTTTCTGCTTGCTCAACAGATGATAAGATGCAACTCGGACTGTACACTGCTGCAGGACTGGATAACTAAAGTTATATATGAACTGTTGGGAAGTTCATCTGCTTTCCATGTGATGTAAAAGAAAATGCTTTACAGTTCCCCTGACAAAAACTTGCACATTGCGTATTATATTCTGAGATATCTGTGAGAAGGACATCAATCACTCTGTATGTGGATTTTCTTGATAATCAGACAAATCACAACTCATACAGGATGGTAAAGATTATTACACCAGTTGTTTTGTTTTTTCCCTTGAAGTCACTGGAATTAGTTCAGACACTTGTGTGAGTTGCCCCTTGGTAGGTGGTAGTGGAAAAGAATCCAGCTTGGATATCTGGGAACCAGTCATAGGAGTATGCTGAAATGTAAACAGGCTTGTGTATGTTGAACAAGTGATGCATTGTCTTAACTTCCTCTCCTTAAGTCAGTACAGTATGTTACTGCTTTAAATCTGCCTTTGTGATCAGTAAGAATGTACTCCACAGCTGAGTGTTACTGTGAATTCTTACTTCCATTTTTTCAGTGTTAGAGCTTCTGTCACTTCATGTGATGGCCTCATCTGATACAAATGAGCCCAGGATGGAGCAAGTCATGAGTAATCTGTGTGTTTGTTTTCTAGAGCTGGCCCAAGAGCATCACCAAAGCAGATTAGTCCAGCAATATTTCTCTGATTGGCGGCTGTCATGGAAGTGCAGGAGAAGAATGCATGCTCACAGAAAGGATATTGAAGAACTAGCAACAAGGATTGCCTTATGGAGAGTCTTTGCACACTGGAAGCATTGTATCCAACCTGTATTTAGTCCCTAGCAGGGACAGGTTAAAAACATCCCCGTGGGGGGAAGATCTGGTTAATAAGCAGTAATGTTGTGCAGTAGCGTGGGTGACAACAAGCATGCTATCATTAGAAAGATGTATATAAGGCCATACTAACAATTAATAAAACTGTTGTAATTACAGTATGTTAGCCTGTTGACAGCTAAGAGCCTTAAGAAGATAATTTAAGATTGGGAGGAGCTCCTTACTTAACAGTAAATTGGAAGTGTATTGTGATAAGCCAGCAAAATCTAAAAACTTGACTATAATCAAAACTTGCACAGGTAGCAGTGATGGAAATTCAAATATTGAAGCACATTTAGATGGAGGTCTAGTGCCCCTCTGTGGGAGAAGGTTGTGTATGTATCAGGATAGTTGTTTCTGTGTAGAAGATACTTTAACTCAGTGACAGATGTTGTACTGTGTGTGGAAGAGACTCGACAGTGTGGGCTGGCTGAAAAACACTACAAGTATCATCTGTTGGTAAGAGCGCTGTTCAACTGCTGTTCACATGGAACCCTGCTCCACTTCGGCCTTCATAGCTCTCGTTTGAATACTTGCTACTACCACCAGGATCTGCACCTGCGGCGGCTCCACCTGAGCGCTGTCAGTGGCAGAGGCTGTGGAGAGAATTCAGATACTTCTGACTGGCAGTGTCCTTTAGTACTAACAGGGGTGTGTGGGTGTTAAGTGTGGGATGCACCATTTTCTGCCATGGTGAGTTGGGATCGGGCATCAGGTTTCTAAATTCCAACTGTTCTGAAGTCTGCCAGTTGAATCCAAATGGGGAAACGGTGTTTCTCTCCAAAATAGTTATTCTTCCAGTTGGGAAACTGGTGAAGTAGCAGATTAATCTGGATGGTATTGAGCTACCATGTTCCTTGGCCATCTCAGCATGAGATTGCATTTTCCCATTGATTTTTTTTCTTCTTCTCACCAATTTTCTTCTACCCTAAATGTTTCTGTCTGCTTACACTGTTTTGCTACAAGAATTATTTTTTCCCCTCTGTAGTAATGCATATATACTTTTTCACATGAGTCCAAATTGCATATGCAGGTAGTTAAGTGTATTTTTGTTTTATTCTGTTTTTTTTAAAAAAGGATAAATTCTTGGAGGCTATCTGAAAGGTGAGCACAAGCAAGGCTCCAGCATTTTTGGAACTGAATTATTTTTAAGTGTAGATCAGTACCGATCATCAGAGCAATGGCAATAAACGTGTTTGGATCATAGATTGAAAACATTAATGGCAATAAAATGGCAGGATGCTATTTAAGGCATAATGCTAATTACCACATTAATTGCTGAATCAGGATATTGTGGGATTGTAGACCAAAAGAACTTGTGCAGAGGACACCTAAAAGGAAAGAGGATCTTTTCTGGTTTCGATAAGGAGTAAGTTACAGGTCTTGAGCTGAAGGAGGAGATAGATTGGGAAAGATTTGGGTAGTGGTGTTGATAGCTGAGTAAGGAGTTAGATGTCTTGCAGCAAAACCCTGGGAAGGTGGAAGGAAATTTTAGTTTAGTTGGAGAACTGACAATTTGTGAGAGGAAATTGATGCATGGATTTGATGACAAGTTTATAAATCTCAGCTATTGCAAGGAGTAGCATCAAACATAGATTGTAAGGAGCGGCCAGTTTTAAACATCAGTGCTTGCTGATTTGGATTACATGAAAGTTGTGTACATTTCTTGTTACAGAAACTTGGGTTTAAAGGCCTCTGTCAGAATGTCATGAACACTCGTCTTCAGCAAATGAGAAAAAATTTGGCATACCGTCAGCATCAAGTTACAGTGAGTTTAACTTCTTTCTTTGTTCTTGTGTTAGTTTTGCTTGAGCTGTCCGCTTTCACCTACAAAATACTTTTTTTTTTTTTCCTAAATACTAATAGCCATAAAAAAATCTACTGTGGTAATCAGCTGTCAGTCTTAGATATGTTATTTATTTTCCTGTTTTTCTATATTTATGGTGACTTCTACCAGAAAAATTCATAGGAGGTTATAAAACAAGTTTGGTATATGAAACAGCGAAGGAGGGAACCATTGCAGCCTGCAATTCCAGTAGGGGATTTAATAATTTATTTGTTTGAATTCTTCTCCTCCCTTGATATTTATGTTTTTTTCATGTCTTTGTTGTTTTGTTTCAGGTGATGCAGAAGTTCTGGAACTGTTGGAAGTCCCGTTTGGAAGAGAAGGAGGAAGAACAGCAGCAGGCCTTAACATTAATGGCTCATGCCCATTATAGGTACACAGAGAAATATTAATATGAATTTGTACAATGTGGGATTTGTGGGCCTTTGGTTAACTTTTAAATCTGGTAATACCTTTGGGGGCATGATCATCCTGATGCCAATTGCTCTTGTATTTTCTATGAATAATGGACAATTTGCATTTCCTGTGTCGCTGTGAAATGTGAGAGGGTGATTGATTAAGCCTAGCTCTGAGGCTTGTTTAGATTTAAGAGCTGGAGGTTTTACTAGTAAGAGCAGTAGGTTGCAGCATGAGCACGGACAAAGCTCAAAACGCTTGCTGCCACTTTACTTTGGGGAGGAGTGAGGGGAGTTGATGGCTCATGTATGCTACCTCTGCTGTTGGAGGTACTCTAAGAGTGAAGGTAAAGCTTTTTTTTAGAAGCTAAATTTATTTAGTCCTAGGAATAAATCAACATTAACAAAGCAGCCAGAAGGCTTTTAAATTTGACTTGTGGAGTTTGGTGGGGAGTACATTTTTGTTATGACAAAGTTGGAAAGGTATATATTTGATTCTCATACTTCCTCTGTTTATTGGTGCTTAATGCCGCTTTCAGTTGGTTCTAAAATTGCAGAATGTGCAAACTTTGTTGCCTTAAAACTTTCTTGATTTCTGAGTGAAACTTAGCAGGGGAGAATGAGACCTCTACAAAACAGGTCTGTGCTGCTCAGTACAGCATGCTGTACTCTACAGTGCTCAGATCCTGGAGCTGGAGTTGAAATTGGAAACACTTCAACCACAGTGTTATGGTGCTGCTCTCAAACAAATGAAAACTGTTGAGGTGTCACCATGTTAGTATATTAGTGCAATGAGCCACATAACATTGCTTGTTTCAAAATAGGTACAGGGTAATAAGGGAAGGAAGGGAAGCTTCATTCTGCCATGCAAGTTTGAGTGATATTCTTTATCAGTTTAGCACAGCTTGCATTGGAAAAGATATTTTACTACAGCTCAGAGAACTACCTTGTTGTCTAACCAGTATCTTCCACTCAATACAATTTCTATCTCATTTCTTTTAGTCCTCCCAGCAGAGTTTGCTTTAAGTATTAAATTTTTCTTGATTAAGAGAGGCTAATACTACAAGAGTGACTGATATCCTTGGTACTGAGTTAGAGTTGATTCTTGGGGTTTTTTTCAGGGCATAATTATTGCACAAATGTCTCAAATTGCCTGATGGATTGCTATCAGGGTCACTTTGTTTTTGCTCAGATGTCACTGAAGAAATAAGAATAGTACTCTGGTTACCTATCTTACAGTCAGTTGCAGTATGTGCAGTTGGATTCAGTGTGAAACAAAGAAGATGTGCCTATAAGCTTTATTTTTGGCTCCAAGACCAGTGTGGAACTCATAAGAAAAGAACCTGGACTCAAAATGATGATACTGGTTATTTTCACAAGTGCAGTCACACCAAAATAAATCCTTTACAACTTCTGGAGTTGTCCTAATTTAAGCTTGCGGTGTGCCATTGAGTGAAATTACTGGGAATCTTTCTTCTCTAGGGGTGCTTGGCATTTCTGCTTTCTGTTAAATTAAATGGATGGTATGGGTTCTCATCACCCTTTACAATTCAACTACTAGCTTTTGTCTCAGAGTAATGATATATCTTACTATCTACTTCTACTGTCATATTATGGAGGCATAGACATGCACAAAAGTTACAAGAGTGTGTACTTGTTCACTGTTCAAATCAGAGACAGGGAATATTGATTGAGAGGGGAAAAAAAAAGAGTGTGTGTTTCTAGAGGTGCCTTAAAGGCCTTGTCTGGGCTTGTATTCTTACCCATGGATTTAGTGCTGTCTCTTCAGGTAGAGCTATGGTTTATGATGCTGTTAAAACCTCATTTTCTGTATTAAATACTAACACTCCCCCCCGCCCCCCCAAAAAAAGTGCCTTTGTTGGGAAAGGGTATGCTTGGAAATATGCTTTTACAATAAGTTCCCTCCTGGGACACTTTTTTTCTGTGTAAGTTGAGAGAGAAAAGTGGTTTTTGACATTGAATCTTCTTTCCTAGTAGACTTGGGACCTTGCACCTCTCATTGGCAGAGGATGGTCACAGCCTGTGTTCTAGATTGACGCCTTTCTGTCATCAGAAGCCTGGCTTCACAGTTGAAAAGCAAGCTGCAGAAAGCCTGTTTTGCCTTGGATATTGGCTTGCTCTTTGGGAGATTCACAAATAGGTTTGGAGGGCAGTCTGAGTAATGAGGGCAGCTGCATTTCTGCAAGCAATTAAGAGTTTTCCTGACTGGTGTGAGAGTGCAGCTGTGGTACATCAGCTTATCCTCTGGAGACAGAGAAAAGGCTCAGAGACTCAGGAGGTTAAGCTCAGTGAAAAGGAGTTGCAGCATGCAACTGCTGCAGTGTAACTTATGCCTCTCACCAGGGAAGAGATGAACAGATGGTTCGAAAGCTCTCATTGATTCTGTAGTCATACCTTGATTTCATGGGTCAGGAATGTTTTTGTGTGCAACCTTTTCTCTTTAGAAAGAGTATAAATGAAGTCCCATTTCCTGAACACAAAAGAACAAATTATAAGTGTGTTCTTTGTTCAGAGGTCCAGGGCTGCTTTCCAACTGGACCTAAGTAAAACTTCCATGGGAGCTTGTCAGGACTCAGCTTCCCTGTTGGTCTCTGATGCAAATACGTGCTGTTTCACAACTCGGTTGCTGTGTCTGATGATCAGACCTAGGAGATACCCCAGAAGAGCCATCAGCTGAGGCTTGTGACTGGCTACAGATCAAAGACATTCTTGCTGGCAACTACCAGTACCCTCCAGGAAGACTTACTTAACTCATGTTGTTTACCAACCTATAAAATTGTAATGAGCTGTCACAGCTACCTACCAAAAATTACCTGGTAAGAATCCAAAATATCTTTTAGGCCTCTTTAGACTAGAGAAGGGCTGAGACTGGCTGACAATCTAATTAGTACGCCCACATGACTGAGGTCTGAAAGTAACCGATGTAGTTTGAACTGCGTGCTGTTTCCACTGGGGTGTAGCTCAGACTTCTGGGCTAAGATGCTTCTACCATATGCTTATTCTGTGAGAGAGATGTATAGTGCTCAATCACAAACACATATTAATTGCATCGTTGGGATACTATTTGATAATGATTCTTGTGTATCCCTATGGAGAAGGCAGACTAGCAAGTATTATCTTCATCTAGAGAAAAAGAAGCTGTGATAATGAGGGCAACTAACCTGACCTTGTTCATAAAAGGCAGCATTGGTAGAATCCCTTCAGTGTTGAGATTAGCCCATGCTGCTCTTTATTATAGTACAATGTTTGTTTGTTTTCTTTTTAAATAAGAGTAAGATTTTAAAAATGTTTCCAAGGGAGGAGTGGGGTGTATTTACAGTGGAGAAGTAGTAAAAGATTGTTATATATATCTTTGTGTTTTAGGAATAAAATTAATTGGTCAGATGTCAGAATAATCTTTTGAATCATCTGAGTGAAAGCAGGGAGTTCTGATAACTTCAGAAAATTCATTAATCTTGTCTCATGTATTCTGGGTAAGATTTCAGGGGATAAATTGTTTGGTTTTTAACCCAGAGAATAATGAGAACATAGAGCTGCCTGATTTCCAAAGAAGGCTTGCATGATTTGAAAAATCAAGTAACTGTTTAAGTTAAGTTGTAGGTTGATTGGTCTTTTGACATTCATAAAATCAATGTCTCTTCTGAAGGAATTCTGTGCTGACATTCTCCTTTTTTTTCTTGCAGGAGGGTGTTGATGAGACAGGTATTTGATGTGTGGTTGCTGCATGCCTGGAAGCAGCAAGAATACAGAATGGAAGAAAAGAGGGTAAATGTAACTCTTTCACCTGGCCTTGCTTAGGAAATAGAGTGGATGATTTCTTAGTCACTGTCTGTGAACATGAGTTAGCATGAGATGGACTTGGATGTTATAAATTCCCTTTTTCCTTGTGGGAGATTAAGTCAGGGAAAACGGATTACAACCTATATTTACTAATCACCTTTTAAAGTTGTGTTTATTAATAATAGAATCAAGCTGTTATTATTAGAGGATAATTAGTCACACTTAATTAACCTACAGAGTGTGCTCTCTCACACTCTGTTCAACCTGGTTGAAACAATAATAGTAGCAAAGAGTCAACCCCAGCCTATTTAAGAAGTGCTGTGTTATACTGCCAAACTAGTTGCTTCTGAGTACGTGTCCATAAAGTCCCTTAAGGGGTCCTTAATTTCTTAAGATGTATGTATAATCCTGTAGGCTTTATATATAGCTGCCACTGCTGCCTTTTATGTGGTCCGAGTTATACAACTCGTAGTTGATGGTAGTGTGTGTGAGTGGCCTTGTGCAGATATGGCTGATTCTTGGTGTTCTCTGATTATCAGTTCTTGCAAATCCAACAGGACTGGTTTCTGGAGTTTATCAGTTCTTGGGAGTCTCTCCTCTCACAGGCTGCTTATCAGCTTGTATTTTTCCTTTCTTTAGCCTGCTGTTTTCTGGTAACAGTTTCCCCATCTGCATGCATATAGGTACCTGTAGAACATGTTCACATAAACTCACAGCAAAGGGACTTTGATGTGGGTTTTGCTGTTCAGTGTGAGAGGAGGAAAACAAACATTGGACAGTTCTGTGCATGTCATCTTTAAGGAATTGCCTCCTGTTGTTTGTAACTGGCCTGTGTCATGAATACATTGCCACCATCTTTCCATTACAGGCTGTACTTCATTTTGAAAGGCAACTATTGAGTTGCTTCTGGTGCTTCTGGCGTAGAAGAACAGCTGCACGTTTGGAGGAGCAAGAGGGCTTGGTTCGTGCAAGAGATCACTACAGTAACCTGCTCCTGCTAAAGACTTTCTGTCTGTGGAAGCAAAAGACTCAGGAGAGAAAAACAGAGTAAGAAGCTTTTTTTAAAAAGGGAGAATTATTTGGATTGGCCGTGCGGTGGCCTACTTTTAACAAAGCAGCATTTAATTCACAATGATTCTGACTCCTTATGTGTGCTTTGGAATTTGCTAGTTTTTCAGTAAATTTGCTAGTCTTTCAGTAAATGACTTACTGAAAATAGCAAGTGTGGACTCAAGTCTGTGCTAGAGGGGTTCAGTAACATGGATTGCATTATAGGAGAAATAGTTAAATTATTTTTCTTATAGGAGGCTCAAGGAGATGCAAGCCTTAAGATTTCACTGTTCAAAGTGTCTGCAGTGGACTTGGAACAAGTGGAGAGAGGTGAGAGAGTTAACAGATGGGGAAGAGCTTGAATCCTTTTTGTTACATTCGGATTGCTTTTATCCATATGGCTAGAAATTAAATTGTTTATTTTAAACAGTAGTCGTTCCTAAGCTCTCCTCCCTTTCCAGGATAAAACCAGTTCAGTGTGGGCGGAACAGGAATTGTGTGTGGAGGAGAGAAAGTTCTTTGACTTCTTGTTCACTTTTAGTGAGTCTAGGAGATTTACCTGGGAAAGTAACCAGAGTTAACATGATAAAATTGTCCCTAGCTGGTACTGTGTATGTCCTTCTCAGTGCTTCACTTAGATTAGAAGTTTGCAGCAAGGCCATGGTGTATGGTCTGTGGTCATGCACAAGTCATAGCAGACCCTGCCAGGTGACCCTTCACTTCTTTGCTGGGCCTTTTCCTTACCATGATGTGATGTACCAAATGTGCCTTGCAGCGTGTCTCAAGAATCTATGAGAAATTTTAGATTTGACGCTAGTCTGTTGGTCCAGAACCTTTAACTTGAGTGATTGCATCAGTTTTCAAGAGGATTCCTAAAAAGGGCAGGAAAAAAAGCACCTCAAATAGGCCTTTTGGAGGAATAGCAGAATGCAGCACCTATTCGAGTGAAAACTTATTACAGCAAGATAAAGGATTGATGTTTCCCCCGAGACTGGGAACAATCCTTTTTCCTCTGCTCTCTGCCGCTCTCTGTTTTCCCTCCATCGTGTGTACATATCTTTTTTTTTTTTTTTTTTTTTTCCATCAGCGTGAGAAATGGAGGAAGCTGGTGCAAGCAGACATGCACTATCGGCACACATTACTGGGCAAGACCTTGGCAGCCTGGAAGGTAGGAGGGAATGTCCTTTATTTTGAGGGACTTCTGTGTGTGTGCTTAAGTGTTTCGGTGAGCACAGAAGAGCTGTCACACTGTTTCACTCTAGGCACTTACACACCAAGCATGCAAGGTACAATGGAGGCTATTGTAGATACGGTTATATAAGCTCTAGCACTGCTTTTTGGAGCAAAAGAACCAATGTAATCTTGTGGCTTTGGTGAAGGGTAGACAATAGCTAGCCTTAGTTAGCATGTAATAAAGACTGTTCATCTTGGAGATGCAGCATTTGATTTCTGGGGCTTGTAACCTGATTTTTTTTTTCCCTGTACTCTACTGCTGCTACTGCTCTCCTAAGCTGTTACTGAGAGGATCCAGGTGTCTTCTCTTCTCAGAGATATTGGCAGTTGAGGGAAATTTTACCTCTCTGTGCTTTTCTTGCAGAGTTACCAACTTAACGTACAGTGCATTCTATACCAAGTAGCTGAAAAGGAGAAACAGCGCACCAGACTACTGCTGCGGTAAGCCAGTGTTTCCCTATGCAGCATGAGACAGAAATGACTACACCACAGTCAAATTACTCTGTTTCACTGCCACCTTTGTAAATTTTTGAGTGTTCACTGCTGGGAATTGACTTTGCTGTGCACTGCTGTTTCTTTGCAGGTCATCTAGTTAGAAGAAGTCCACATCTTCCTGGATTGCCATCTGTTTTGCTTGAATGTTTTTTTTGGTCTCTGTTTAATCCCATGAGAGACAGCAGACAGCAAACTGTATCATTCTCTGCAGTGCATGGATTCTGACTGCTATGATATTAAAGCAGCCTGGAAGATGTAGAGGCTGTCTTACATTATAGTGAGGAGAATAGCTGAAGATAGCATAACTTAGTTAAAACTAAAGCAACCAATACAATCTCATTTGTTTTAATGCTGTACAGCTTGAGTTACTTGCAGAGCCTAACTGACTCAGCTTAAGATGCTAGACTTATGGGTGTGTTCTGTTTTTCCACTGCCTTCTCTTCAGCAGAGAGCTGAAAGGGCAGAAGCTGGTTTTAAAGACTCAGTTTATAAAGGCAGCTGGTTTTGGTTCCCCTGTGAGTGGGAAAGTGCCAAGTGAACAAGTGAGAATAATTCTTAATGGTTTTTGTTTGATTTTTAATTTTCTGTATATTTTACCTTCAGACAGCTTCTGTGTACATGGAGAGAAAATGCCCTTGCTCTTATACATGAAGATGAGGCAGCTATTCGGGCAGATGAGCATTACAGGAGAGCAATCCTGTCAAAGGTAGGTTCTGTATAGCAGATACCAAGGTCTAAGTGCAGATGCTGGTTAAGGCAGGGGTTGGATAATGCACTTACAAGGACCAAAAACTTAATCTAAGAGCCACTACTGAGAGAGGTCTAAAATGTTGGAGTCCCATCTTATTTTTACAGGTATCTCTGAAACTTGTCCATGAGTGAGCTCATGTTTTTTTCTCTTCCTTTCTCCCTTTTCCTAGAAAGAAGGGTAAACCAGTAGTATGATAGAGCATAGTAACATTACCTGGTGGAGGCAGGAGCAGACAGAGAAGCAGAAAAGAACAATGCCTTGAAAAAAGCCAGGGGATCCCTCTGAAACACTGCTGTATTTAATTTGTAGGAAATCTGCAACGTCTTGTTGAGCCTTATGTGAAAAGTGAGGTGGAGGTGGTTATGGTGTCAGCATTGTGGAGTACATCGTTTCCCCTTCCAAAGACCATTGCAGTGCCAGTCTGTATCCTGTCTCTTGTTTGCATTGTATCTTTAGGTGTTGCTGCAGTGGAGCCACGCTGCCAAACTACGAGTGTATTGCCGTAAGCAGAAGGTGACAGCTGTGATGGAGGCCAGAAAATATTTGGATATAGGTGAGCTGGTGGAGATATTAAACTCTCAGAAGACTGAGTTATCTGTGTATGATCCTTCGAAAGACATGGCTTAGTAGGGCAGTCTTTTGTCATCTGACAGGTGAAATGACTGGATGGTCTATTAAGCCTACAAAGGATGTCCTCATAGAATGGGGGATGACTTGAGACTCCAGTGATCTGTTGAAGGCTGCTTGTATGACTTTTTTGTTTCTCTATTGTTTCCCTGTCTATATAAGGGATGCTAACACTTCCTTCCTCAAAGGAATTTCCCGTTGCTAATTTTGAGAAGCTCAGATGTCTCTGTTTTGAGGGCAGTGCAAGTAATCTTACCAATTACTGCTTCAATCTTTGTCCAGTAAATAATATAAAAAGGCCCTCAAACTCTGCACACATTTTTATGGTACTAGCCATGTTCTTGACAAGAACGCTGAAGTACAGAGGGAAAATTATTTCATAAAGAACGCCAGTGCAGCAGGGAAGGCTCGCAAGTCACAGCTCACTGTCCATTACCTGAAGTGTTTCACAATCTTGCCTAGTACTGAGTATTGTCAGTGTGTTAAGTATTACTAAAACAGCTGATCACCTGAGACTCTCTGACATTAATAGTCTCTTTTTGGTATGTGAATTAATTTATCTTCTCCTACCAGTACGTTTACAGACCCTGTTTCTTCACTGGAAGGAATTAACTAGGGAGTCTCTGATGCTGAGGGCTCAGCAGCACAGGGCAGTACAGCACCATCAGCAGCACCTACTCCAGAAGTACCTGGTGAAATGGAAGAAATATCATCAGCGATGCCTTGGGAAAACGGTGAGAAGGATCTGCAGCCTCCCCAGCCAGCGAGCCGGGGGGAGGTTACAGGTGTGGAGGAGCAGGCCATGTCCCCTGGTGAAGGGAATGGTAGTCTTGGCTGAGGAGGAGCAAGACAGCCTGGTGCGTTGAGGAGGAAGGAACGTGCCTGTGTCTTGCCTGAAGAAGTTTTGATAGAACTAATAGACTTTAACAGATAAGCTGGGCTTGCCATGTGTGGGATCATTGGCTGTTAATGAAGTCCTTGCCTGGGCACATAGATATTTGCAAATGGGGTTACACTGTAGGGCACTTAAATATTGAGGGTGGCCTCAACAGAACAAAGGGAGGGTGATAAAGGCTGTTTGGTACTTGTTCTGTTCTAGTAGCATTTGGCTCAGATAAGTGGGGTTTGTCTGCAAGTGACTCACTGTTTTGATTGCCTCAACAGCTACTACAGAGACAGGCAGATCAGCTAATGACTCATAGACTTTGCTCTGCTTCCTTCTCTTGCTGGAAGACACGGGTAAGGAATTGTCCTCTGGGTAGGTATCTATCTCCTTGCTGATCCTTATCCCTTTTTCTCCTTCATGTGCCATTTACCCATTAGGACAAAAAAAAAAATTATTTAAACTTTTTCTGGATTTTTGGTTCTGTTGGTGCAAGACATGCAAACTGTGTGAACCGAGCAGGTTATTCTGCTATGGCTCCACCAGCACGTTCTGTTTGGTTGATGCTCTAGCCTAGCTAGTGCTTCTGGTGTGGGATGTGTAAAGTCCTAACCTGTGTGATGTGCAATTTTTTTCCCTGATAGCTGGTGCAGCAATGGTGGGAAAAGCAGAAGACAGTGCAAGCCTTGTGGCACTGGTCTAATTCATTGCAGAGAAAGGTAAGGGTGGAGGGGTTAGGGCAAATGAGTGGATTTGCAGATGTGCAGGTCATATGCAGATTTAACTGCAGTCAGCAGAGTGCATGTTGAATATCTGTTTCCTTTAATCTTTGGGGTGATATATGTTATTCTAGGATGCTGGAAAACTGTCCCTAAATCCTCTTATCCGATTAAAAAATTTGCACGGGTTTTTCCCCATCCAGCCTCAGCTGTCTTAAATCCGTGACCCTTTGTCCTTGGGGTAGTGTCCTGCTGTTGCTGTAGCTCTGCCTGTTACTATCCAGTGGAAGGGAAAGTGTTCCTGTCTGCAGGGGGAGTCCCTGGCCCGGGACTGGTCTTTGTAACACTCGCAGCTATCTGCTGGTCATGTTGTAGGTATTTGATGCTTGGCTCAGATTTGCCAAAGGGCAACAGCAGAAGAAAGATCTCACTGAAAAAGCCACAGGAGTTTACCACACTGCTCTTCTGAGAGAAGGTGTAACCCGGGTCTCGAGATACGCTGCTGGCATGAAACAGTTGCAGGGACAGCTCCAAGCCCAGCACCAGCTGAAGCTGAAGGAGACAGTGATTGCCCAGATACACCCAGGACTGGTCTGCTCTGATTTACTGTGTGTGTGTTTGTGTCTGTGTATGTATCTTGGCGCTCTTGTTTGGATCTGACATACACGTTGGCCTGTGGTTCAAAGCAGAACACCTTTCATTCAGCTGAGACTTGAGCACTTCAGATTTACTTAATTGGGAACCTTTCTTAATGAAGCCATGTCAAAACTGTCCAATTCTTGCCATAAACAGCATTGCTGCACGAAGCCTTTGCATGTGGCTAGGGTCTGGTCTCTGAATTCTGTACTAGAATGAAGCATTAGAGGCTGCATCTAATTCCATTTTAGCTTTAGCACCACTTACACCTTCAAATGTGGGCTTCTGTCACTTCTGCCTTCGAGTATCAGCCCAGCCCCATGTGTAGAAAGGAAGATAGGGATGTCTATATTGATTGCTCTCTTCCTGCTCCTGGGCAGCTTTCCCAGCTCTTCAGGTTTTCAAGACACTAGTTGTTCATTTGCTAATGTGTAGCCTGCTTTACTCTAGAACTACCCAGCTCTTTACCCAAATGTTACTGCAGTGGACCTGCTAATTTAGCTTAGAGAGCTGGTATGGCTGTGATGTTATCAGACATCTCAGTTCTTTCTGTGGTGGTGTTCTCCCTGGGTGGCATGCTGCTGCTTCCTACTCTCAGCCATCAGATGCTCTATTTGTGTTGGCAGGCAGCCTACAACCTTCACCAGTCAGTGTATCGTTGTGCCATGCTGTGGAAGCAGAAGGCTCTTTCCAAGAAATTTAATAAGCCTTGTTCTTTTCTGCCACTTCTGAAGAAACAAGTGACATCTAGAAGACCTGGTGTTAGCCCTGAGACAAGAGGACATTCAGCAGAGGAAGAGCCACAGCCTTCAAAATGCAGTCATCTACCATTTCACCTTGCTGATGGGGACTCAATTCTCAGTGATCTGTGAGTGTACAGTTCTAGTCCCTCCTGCATTTCTCTGGCATGTATGTAGCTTTGCATACATGTAGTCTGTTGGGGTGTCTCTCATTTTTGTATTTCCAAGTTTTCACACTGATAACTGTTAGTTCAATGCAATTTCTCTAAGTCTCTGACCCTGCATCATACAGCTGGCGTTGCAGTGTTACATAAGAGCTGCTGCATAATGCATACATCAGCCCACAAATAATGAAAGAATTTGGGACTTTATACTTCATATCAGTGACAGGTAGAATCAGCTCAGCTATATACTTTCTACTATGCATTTCTCAATATACAATTATGAATTCGTGGCACATTTGTCATAGGAAAAGTTACACAGGGAAACATTTGGAAGATGTACGTGATGGGACTTTTACCATCTTGCCCAAGTGACCTAGAGCTGTCACTGAAGTTATGTCGAAGGTCTGATGAAATGATAACCATCAAGATTCTGGCTGTGTAGAAACTGAACTTTCTCTTCCCCTTTTCTTTCCCCTGGGGAAGCTATTCCTTAAAAAATTCTTACTGCTCATGGGGAAATTGCAAGGAATAATCTTCCATGAAGCTTCTCAGTCCAGGACAGGAGCCTTACACAGAAATGAGGTGATCGGTTCACGTTTCTTTAAGCTAGTATGTGCTGCCAGAAGTAGTAGTTCTGCCTTGTTCGGCTCAGTCCCTTCCACCACTCCTCATGTTGGCATAATCATTCATATGGCGAACCAGATTGCAATAGTAATTCAGGTTGAAATTTAATCTTTAAAAGTTATTACTGCATGCAAGGATGAGTGATGGAATAGGACTTTCTTTAGCTGCAATGCCAGCTAAAATTTAAATGCTGATTTAAAAAAATCACAAATACGGGGCATTATTGGTTCTGTTTGTTCTTTTCAGAAGTGCTATTCGACGAGCAAGGTTACCACCATGGAGGCCTGACTTCCTTCTGGAATCTAATTTAGAGAGCAAGGAACTGCTGGGACCTCCTTTTACTAGGTAGAAAAATCTGTTTTTAAAAGTAAAGAAAAAGAGGGTGACTTACAGTGGGCCTTATGCTATGCTTATCCTCTCCAATCCCCTTACCTTCACAATACAGAAGATCCAGTAGTTACAGAACTGTGCAGTGCTTTATACTACCAAAAGGCCATAGTGACCTTAAAATCTTTAGGTTTCTTATATGAAGCAGACAAGAGTAATGGAACTTTCAAGTTCATTAAATAGCAACCAAGGCCTTTGTTTCATTAGTGAGAGATTTTGAGGGAAAGATAAGGCACATCACTTATTTAAAAAATCAGTGAGCTTAGTTAACAAGTAAAGTTTCCTTTTCTGTTAGTCTTGCCATGTAAACTCGGAATTTTGTGTTGTGCAGGATTCTTTTTGGCTCACAGGTCATACTTGCTTCACAACAGGTTTGGGTCTGGATTTAACTGATCTACTGGGGAATCATTAATGATTCCAGTAATGCAGAGCCAGAACTGAATATTTCTCTGTCTTGACTAAATCAGCTTTGTTGCTCTATTTTTACTTTCCCCTGAAAGGTCTGTGCTACTGAAATTGTTCAACTAAGCAGTGGTTTCACTTGTTTTGGTTATGGTATCACGTCTTGGCCCTGAAAGTGAGGGAGCTGAAACTGCTCTTGCTGTAGAAGCTGAAATTGCTTTTAAGCAGATGTACATTTTTGGTGAAACTGTTCTGTAATTAGCTTTAGAGGAGGGAAGTATCTATCAGTTTCCTGTCAAAACATGTCTGAGATTGCTGCTTCTGCTCCCCTCTTTCTTTTGTCCCCAAACCAAAATAAGGCAGGGTTTTGTTAATGGGTTGAATTCACCGCTCTAAAGAAATTGTTTCAGCCTGAATTAATGAGGAGGATTTGGAGCAGGGCAGGTAGGAGTAATGGAAATGTTAACTGCTTTTGCTGCCTTTTTTTTTTTTTTTTTTTTTTATGTGTGTGTTTTGGTGTTTTTTTTTAAATTGAGGTTTCCCCTGCATCATAAAGCAGCTAACTGGAAAGCTGCATGCAAGGGAGTATAAAAATCTTCCTATTTTTTGCACTGACTGCAAAGGACAAGACCAACAGTTTGCAATGTACAGGGAACTCATCCTTCTTCCTTTACAGATCAGAGGTACCCTTTCAGCAACCAGCTGTGAACAGATGTTCTGCGCAGACTGGGAACTTAATGCTAACGCCTCAAATGGAAGGAAGTGCCTGTAAATGTCTATCTCAAATGGGCAACGCCACTCATTTCTGTCCACCTCCCACACGTGCCGCTGTCCCGTCTGTACCACTGTGGACTCAGGATGTGTGCTGTGCTGCTCAGAGGCCAGAGCTATGCTCTCCTTCAGCTTTCATGTCTCAGGTAAAAGCTGGAGCAGAAATGGTGAGTGTATTGCTGAAGGAAAAATCAGTGTGCTCACAGGGCTACTGTCAATATGCGTGCTGCTTATGGATGGTTTTTCCCATGGCTCCTCTGGACTGTCCATCTGGTTGTTGAGCTCTGTTTCTTATTCTAGCTGTCATCTTAAAAGCTGACCAAGTTAACTGGCTCTGAATGCCCAAGAACTGTTTACCATGAGTCTGAAGAAGTATTTCACTAGCTGGTCAGTCCACAAGCATGTTGTACTGTAATTCATGCCTTTTCTCCTGGTCTTGTGTCCTTCCTAGCTGGATGCTTTTCCTAGCAATTGACTCGTGAGTGATGCTCCTTCAAAGAGTTACAGCAGTTAGTTTGCCAACTAGATGACAGGGATTTAGGAGTAACTCAGTTTAGTAGCAGTGGCTGTGGCTGAGAGTCTCAAAAATTAATTTATTGCATCTGCAAGTGGGTGCTTGCATTTTAAACTCCTCTGTTCCACACAGAATGGGATGTGTTAATCTTGATGAAATATATCTATGGTGGAAATGCGAGCGCCCATTTCTAAACTCTGCTGTTTCTGGTATTTTGAGAGGGGCTTAGCAACTGCAGGGGGTATCTGAGAGTGGGAGTAGGGCTTAGCAGGTCAGGTGCCTCCCACTTGTAGGGCTTACTCAAGAAAACCCTGTTATCATTCTGTCCTTACAGAGAGATCAGCCTGTTAGTTCTCACAAAGGAGCCTGTTCCCAAGACACTCAGCAGGACTCTGTGAAGTTGCGACCAAACTTGCAGCCACATCTGCTGTCACCTGAAGATCTGGTGGGAAAATGGAGTCACCAAACTGCAGGTAGGTCATCAGATCTAAACTGTGGCAGCTGTGTGTCCTCCTCCAGTTTATGCAAGACTGCAAGTTAACTCCCCATGTACGGGAGGCAAGGCAGTCTTGTAAGCCTGCATCATAGGAGGTGAAGAGTATCAGCCATTCCTTTTCAGGATGGTAAGTTTTGTGGATTCTGCTGAATTGGGGCCAAAGCCCTGTTCTAGGGATTGAAGGATGGGAAATGCTAGGGGTCAGCTGCTCCTAGCGAGAATGTGCTCGAGTGCTGAGGCATGCACATGCACAAGGCTGAATGTACAGCAGAACTCACTTCAGGAGGGAAGAATTCACCCAGGAAGGTTCTCTTTATAAGTCTTCCCCATGCTTACAGCATGGTTGTAAAGGGGACGGATGGTGTCTAAGCACCTCTCAGTGCGGTGGTTTTAATGACATAAGGGCATGAAATTTGTGTTCCATGGGACTAGATTTACTACTTGGCTCTAAAATAGATGTAAACCACTAAATCATGAATAGGCCAAAATAGCATTTGTAGTACTCAACCATTCACTAGAGCATTTCTCATCTTTTTTTGGTGTTTAAAGGGAGCCTTCAGAGCATGTAATGCTGTCAGGACTCCTGCCCACTCACTGTACCTGGGGTGAATAAGTACATGCCACAGGGTGACAAAACATGTGAAAAGGACTCAGGAAGGTTCCATGTTTCCTGTCTACTGCCTTTCCTTGATAAGAAACAGTGCAAGTCTGCTCCTCTTCCATTGCCTGTGCCTTGTATCTTCCATTCAGCTGAAGGGGAAGAAGGGGAGCACAGGTCCAGAGAACTGGTGTTCCAAAGCAAGCTGGAAGTTGAACTCCAACACATCCAACAGCAGATGCAGTACTACTTCAGCAGGAAGCAGGAACTCAGGTATGTTGCAAAGCCCCTTTAGCCAGCCCTTCTTCATGCTGTCAACTCAATATTGCTTTTTTTTTTTTTTTGTACATACCTACTTTGAAAATAACTGGTCTGTTCACAGTAGAGCTATGAATGAAACAGAGAAAAGTTCTAGAAGTTTTTGTTTTCTCCTTTTAGGAGTTCACTCCGGGTGGGAGGGAGTAAATGTACAACTTCTTTTGTAGTCAGCAAGTGGTTTAATGATACCTTTGGCAGCTGTTGGAGAAAGCATGACAAAGGTATCATTGGGTATAATCTGAAGGTAGTACAAATGAACTTGGCAGAGGAGCTGAAATTTAGTTTCTAGTTCTTTTATCATGAGGAGTGAAGCCTTAGCTTTTCCAACTGTCCATTAAGAAAAAAAATATGCCTGGTATTTGGTAACTTCTCTACTAGGACAAGAACACATTTACAAAAATGCTTAAGAAAATGGGGCTTGGAGGGAATTCAACTGTCAGGAAAAGAAGAAGTCAGGAACTAGGGAGTAGGAAATGGAGACAACAGTTTTCAGACAAATTTCTCTGCCTTCCAGCATCCTTTCCTTTTTCCTTTTTATTTTCCTTTTTTTTTTTTTTTTTTTTTTTTCTGGTTTGAGAGAGAAAATTGGGTCTTATTGCAAGTCTAAGTTGGCTTAAGACTGTTGAGCTCCTAATTGGGATAAAATAATCCTCCTAATCCATTTTATCAGGTCCTGTCAACAGCAGGCACAGATTCTACAGAAGTGGCTAGAAATGAGCACACAACCAGGGGACCAAGACGGTGTACAAGCAGTTCAGGAAGAACTGGATCAGGTGTGTAAACAGCAAACAAAGTTAAGTTCCCAAAGTGATTATCACTATGCTATGCACTCAGCCTAAAGGCAGTTGTGAGGAATTGTATAATGAGCTGTTATTAAAATGCCAAGAGAAGAGAAACGTAATCACAAGTGGGCTGATAAGCAGAACAGACTGCTGTGGAGATGCATCTTCCTCTTTGCTCAGAAATGTAACTCCAGCTCCAGTAGACCTTTCTAGGGCTATTTCAAAGGTACAGAGCAGGCTTGAGTAGATTCAGTCTCAGATTTGTTTTCTGTGGTTTCTCAGGACGGTGTAGCTACACCACAACAGACTGCATCTGCACTGCTCTCAGCTCCCAGGTTCATACAGCTGTTACCCTCAGGCTAGCAGCCATTACTTGGCTGTTCGAGAGTGACAAGAACCATTAAGTGTCTGTCAAACAGACTAAATGCTGTCTTGATGTACAAACAGCTTATGCCAGTTGTCTCCACTTTCAGTTGCAGGTGAGGATCAACACTCTTACCAAAGCACAGCTAAAAGAGAGACATCATGTGCAGAAGCTGGTTGCCCGCCTGCGTGATATCCAGATTGCTCTGGATATGTAATACATCTGTGCCAGTATTCCAGCACCTGGGTAGGACTTTTTGCTCCTTTCACAGCAGGGAAGGATGGAAGAGATGTATACAATTCCTTACTCTATGTATGTGGCACTTTTATAAATTAAAATATTTTTGCCTTTTTGTTATTAGAGCTGGTTAAAAAAAAAACAGGAGCTAAACACACCTCATGCTGCACTCAAAATACCTAGTTTAGGTTACTCTGACATTTCAGAAAAATAAGCAACACTGATAAGACTCTTTATTTCAAAGTGTTTGCAATTAAATGAGTTCATGTCAGTAAGTCATACACTTGACATACAAAAATACTGTGCTACTGATACAGTTGAATTAAATGGATTCTCCATGCAGGAGAAATTCACAGCATTATCAGTACCCTCTAGGAACTTTGCTTTCACTTCCAGGGCTCATTGCTGACAACTGCATAACAAGTGATATTTGTTAATCAGCTAGCTCTGCACAGTATTAAGACCATCATGAAAAGAGCCATTTGCATGCTGAATCCTCTCTTTCTTAGATTTCTAATAAAGCAAACATCAGGTAATCCCATCCTCTGTTACTAGGCTAACAGTAACCTTCAGATAGTGTGGATGATGATGCTGAGTAGGAAGAAATTAAAGCTTAAAGTTGCTTTGGCTGTGTCCAGATGCCATGGGCCATAGTGGAATAGGGGGAAAATATTTCATTTGTCTCTTCCCTCATCCACTGGAACAGATTTGCTTTCTACTGTTCATGTGACACTGAAGTGTAGTCAGGCAGCTAGTCCTAGCTTTATCCTCTTGGGGTTGATGTTTGCCTTAAGTCAGTTCTCACTCTTAATGGTTTAAAAAAGTGCACATTTCTAGAACCTGTGTAAGTTAATATACTGCTGCAGGAGTAAACTTGCTAATGCCAAGAAGTTTAACAAGATAGGTGGCTGAGAGCCACTTCAAGCTTTCAAACTCCTCCCTCTGTAAAGTGAGGAAACATTGACTCTCGGAGCCAAATGAATTTTCTCCTGCTTGTCACCCAAACAGCCACCAGTATCTGAGTCATGGCTGGGCTACATCACTTGGGAAGCAGTTGATCATCCCTTCTTTCCTGATGACAAGCTAAGCATACAGGACTTGGCAAACTGGACATTTGTACAACAAAATTATATTCTATTTTCTGCAGTGCATACAAAGAAGATAGGTATTATTTTCTTTAGGAAATCAGAGCTGGTCAAAGCCTATCATCTCCTTGAAGTAGCAGAAAAGTAGCTCAAGCAAGAAACTAATGAGAAATCTTTCAGAGCAGAAAGGCAAGTTTCATAAGCATGTCCACTCCAACAAGCTCTGGCTAGTAAAGTCAGTTCTAAATGAGTGCCTGGACTTGAAACAGTTTATTCTCTAAAAACGAATTAAACATCATTTTAAAATTCAATTCCCCCACTTTGGCACCAGTTTCTGCCAGTGCCATATTCAATGGATCCAAGGTGTTAGATTTTAACACTTCTTGACAAAGAGGCTCTAAAGTTTTGCTTAGGATGAAGCTTTAGCATAGAGCTTTCAGCCCCCAGCACATTCCTAGAGTTAAGTATGAGGGCAGAAGTCAGAGCCAGTGTGGGTTTTTTATATTTTGAGTAAGATAAGAGTTGTCAGTTCATTATAGGAGGGCCACACTGGCACCTGGGAGGCAACTTGGGACTGCTTCAAAGAGCTGTATTTTTATACACAGTCAGTACATAATAGGACATCTCACTCTGTGCCATAAAAATTGGTCCTCAAGTATCTGAAACTGTTTTGTAAATAGAGAGATTACTTCTTCTTTAGTTACAAAGCAACAATGAAGATACATAGCAGAAAGTAAAAACATATTTTGGCTGCCATCTCATTGCATCACACAAGAAAAACATCCTCTACCTTTTCCAACACCTTAATCCAAAGGTGAAGTAACTGTCTCTCATACAGACAAAATCTTTAAGGCCTGGAGTAGCAAAATAAAACCATAGATTAGGACACAGAGCTTTTCTTTTCTTTTCCTTTTTTTTTTTTTTTTTAAAAAAAAAAAGAAAACCCAAAGATGTTTCATTGTATGGAATGTAGACACAGTGTTTCCAGGTTTAAAATACAGTGCAAAGTCAATTTTTAAAGGGACAATGTCAGGTAAAATGAAGTTGTTTCAGTAGAAAACCTGGATGAGTGTAATTTATTGTATTGATGCTGTCTGCTGTACATTTTGCTTTGGACTGTGAAGCTGCTCGCTCGTTTGGCGTGCTGTGCATTCACAGGCTGCCTTTAGGTAAGAAAGAACTTCACCGGAGTGTCTTAGAATAAAATAAATATGAGAACACATTCTTTACTCAAGGTCTGAAAAACAGGTATTGCAGATATAAGGTACAAGGTCTGACTCAGCCTGTCAGTGTCCCTTTAAATACAGCTAATCTCTAACTCCACCCTTCCCCATTGCACCTGCACAGCCCAGGAAGGTTTAGAAGGGATTTACGGGCTCTAAGAACATAAGTATCCTGTGGCACATTGAGGGGAGAAAATGAAAGACTACAGGCACAGGGTGGGACAGAAACCTCCACGGTCAACATCTTTAAAGGCAGCTGTACCTGATACATATGTGGTCATTCAATTCTCTTTCTGCATTCAGCAGCACGTTAACTGTAGACCAGATACTCTCAAGTTTAACATAGCAATGACATCTGTTTTCCTCACCCAGGTCCTGCTGAGTGATGCACACTTGTTAAGTGAAACGCTCAGTGGTGTGAGAAGAGTCCCTTTGTATAGAAAACCTTCTTGCTGAGCGAATTTATTCTATAGAGAGCCCAGTGCTTCTCCAAAGCGGATTTTCTGTCCGGCTTTAAGGTGGAATTTGAAGTCCTTGGGTGCCTCAAAGATGAGTACAATCGTAGAGCCTAAGTTAAATTCCCCTAAATGTTCCCCTTTCCTCATGGGGATTCCCTCCTTGTTGTTGTTGGATATGAAGCTGAAGTCGTTGTAGGAACCTTTAGAATAAGATGGACTGTTGGTATGCAAGTCCTGTACAGAGAAGGAAGAAACTGTTACTTGAGGATTTCTGTTCTCTGTATGCACTAGCACAGCTGTAGGCTGTGGATATCCAGGCATTTTCAATGGAGGAACTTACTTACAATTCAAAAATACAATAGGAATATTTTTTAAAAATAGTCTATACTGGAGATGCCTCCCTCTACATCAGTCTTAAAACATCAGTACTGTCAAACACCTTAATCTCAGAGTAATACAATATTTTTTTTGTCATTTTCTTTTATTACACTGTACCAACCTTAAATATCAAAACCAGAAGGTTGCCTCCTATCTTGCTCACCTGGTCAAAGTAGATGCGGATAGAGCCCACGTTTGTTGCTCCTACAGCTGTTAAGGAGAAAAAGCCATGTTTCCAGTCACCTGTAAGGACAACCCGTTCATTGTGGCAGAACAGTTCCTTGATCCAGCGAGCAACTCCAGGATTCACAGACATCAGAGAACCTGAAATAGCAAGAAAATCATCAAGTTATCTGGTTGGGAACAGTACTGTAATGCTATCTAAGTGGTATTTTCAGTGTAAGTGTAGCTGATTCAGTAAACAATTCTGTCACTTATTTGTAGGAAGAGAGGCAAATGCTAAGCAGAGTGAATGATAGACAAGGGTGTAGTAAAACAAAGGGGTCACAGAAAGATGTTTCTCCCTACTTCAATGGCAGGCTTTGGCTGCCTGGAAACACAGCCAAGGTGAGGGGGGTACTGGTCAGCCAGGTATGAAAACTCAAACCCCTTTGCTCTTTATCAGAGAACTGTAGCTGGTGCTCCAGATAGTGTTCAAGCCTTACAGTGAAGGATGAGTGTGGCCTTTAGTTTCCCTGTGATTCTGCTAGGAAGAATGCAAATATAAGCCCTGCCTAAGAGTGTTGGATCTTTCTGGACAGAAGACTAAGGATTAAATCTGGGGTGGGAGTCCCTTTCAAAATGTCTGCCATTGTTGAAGCCTCTTCTAGCATCAGTCATACTGCGCTCTCACCAAATGGAGGTGGCAGGAACTCATTTCCACACTACCTGATGCTATTCTTCTACCAAAGATGTAACCAACCAACTTCATGCTAGTGTCACCTACAAATTCACATGACAACTATGATTATTGTCATCTGATAGGCCCTTAAGAGAGATCAGGGTAAGGCCAAAGGCAGAGTTAGTCCCTAGCTTCAGCTTTGATAGGCAGAACTGAAAGAAGCCTTCTAATAAACACATAAGATCCATCTAAAAAAAGGCTACAGGCTACAAAAAGGAAGTTAAAGAAACTTCTGACAGCTCAGGAACAGGTTTCACTGGTTAACTATCCAGTGCATGAGAGCAGCCCCTTCCCCTTGGTAAAAATGCATAAAAGTGGTTACTGAGACTGTGGCTGAAAACCAAGTAGCTATGTAGCTAGAGCTGACCAGGAAATACTAATCATATGAATCACTTTTTAAAAGTTTACTACAGAGAAACCTCAAAAATTTCAATCTACATAGTCCTTAAAGTAATTTAGTAAGGTATATTAACTACACATATTTTTAGCTATAAAATGCATCTGCTTTGCTGCACTGCAATCCCAATAGTAGCACTTCACTAATACCCCTTTGTTTCAATCAAAGCCTAACTTCAACCTGGCACTTGACACATTTCTCAAACTTTGTGGCATTGTCCTTCTCTCATGGTGTTTGAATCCAAATCCAAGTACTTAGGTTTTTGGTAGATACTAAGTAGTAAAACATTTTTGTTAATCTCCTGAACTGGAGTATAATGATCTGCAAAGAGGACAAAAACATCTGATCCCAGCTCCAGTAGCGTAATTGTTTAGTTACATCTTATTTCCCAAACACAGGGAGAGATCATATTTTAGGGTACTGTTTGGTCTGATAGCAGAACTGTTTCAGGTGCAAACTGAACAAACAGTGTATGGGAACAAGTAAGGTTGTTCCTGATAATATATAAAATATAAATATAATATATAAAGTAACACATCAACAGTTATTTCAAAGAACCAAACCAGATTGAAGACAATATTACTTTTTTCACCATCAATATGCGATTTGTTCTCGTAAACCATACTACTATAAAATTCATTCCCATTTGTGACAAATCACTCTTCTACCATTATCTATCACATGATGGCACAACGGCTCCAGCGGCTCAACTTGTTCAGCAGTGCCACAGCAATGCTTCCCTCCATAGCTGCTCTGCATCCGTCTTCTAGGAACAGAAACCTACCTGGGAAATGACGTCGGTGTGACACTCTCCAGTCAGTGGGTGAGTGGAAGCAGTGATAATCCCCTGGGGCAAGGTAGATTACACAATGGTAGAGCTCATTCCCCTCCTTTGTGACTAGTTGTTGCTGAAAAGAGTTACCAGGTGAGGCTGCAAAGAAACCATGGGAAGAAAGGGGTTTAAAACATTCTTCATGCACTCATCTACCCTAGCCCGGCAGCCTAGGGAGAACCCGTGGTAACAGCAGAGGACTAAATGCAGTCCACAGGCATTGTTGCTACACTGAGGCTACAAAAAGATAAACTTCATCCAGAAATCCAGTATTTCCAAGTGTTCTTTTCCCTTTACAATAAAATTAGATCCTGTATTGTTTTAAGCATCTTGGAAGTTCTTTAATTTTGGAGTTTGCCCTTCCCTAAACAGAAGAGCAGGAACTAAAATCCACTGAAACGGAGTTTTGATTAAAGCTACCCTTTTAAGAACAGTTCTCACAGCACCCCTTTTAAGAACAGAAGAACAGAATTTGTGAAGACTCCTTATTATAAAACACAGTAGTAGCATTTATGTTTATGTTGAAAATAACCCTACTGTTTGCAGAACTCAGTCTCATCAGTCTCCCTGCTGGTTTAGCAAAATGTGTTGCTTTCATCAAAACTCAAGGCCTTGGAGACTGCTTGAGGTGCCGCAGTCAGTAGTGCTTGAGCATAAATCTTGTTACAGAGGAGTTGGCCTGGCAGCAGGAGTGCTACAGCCTCTTTATAGTGCCACATCTTGGAGTCAATTGTAGGAACCCAGCAACTAAATTCAGATAATCAGAATGAGCCAGGCAAGACACTATAAAGCCCCTGGTGAGAAAGAGAAGAGCTAGAAGAATTACATGTTTATCCCCAAATAAAACAAAACAAAAATATTTTTTGCCTGCTTTTGTTCCTGACAATGTGAGAGAGAAAGAAAAACAAAAATTCTCTTTTCCTGTGATCTCTGAGAACACTGAAAGGGCAGAATGGAATAAATGCAGAACTGATGCAGAACTCACCCTGTCTAAAATGCAATTCCTCTGTGGAGATGCGAGGTCCCAAGAAAGATTCCAGAGAATAAGTAACCCCTTTTACTTGCTCCACTTCACAGTTTTTTACCTGTCCAAAATTAAGGATCTTGCCATCAGAGGGACTAATCTACAGTGAAGAGAAAAAAAACCCAAAACACATCAGGAATTCATTCATTCCTCATAAAGCAGACACGTTCCTTTGGGGGGTGGGGGGAAGTGGGTAGCATAGCATAAAGCCTTCATTTCCTTCTACTCACCACACTGTGTGCACAGCAGACTGGCCGTGCTTGTGGTTTCAGCTTCCTGCGGAAGAATTCGCTGAGGTTTCTGTAGTGATGCAGATCTTCAACTGCCGCCTCCTTCATGTTCACTCCAAAGGTCCAGATGTACAGGCTGTAGACAGGCTTCCGCAGCCATGTAGGCAGCTCCACTTGGTTCAGGCGGCCCCAGGCTCGCGAGAGCAGGCGAGTTGGTACCGATTTGTACAGAGCGACCTACCCAAAGAAGAATCGCACCATGTCGTTCAGTTCTTGGCACTGAACTGGCTTTCTCTTACTCCTCCCCATAAAACAGAAAGGATCAAACTGTTCTGCTAAGCACTCCTTGAATTCAGTGGGTTACACCGCCCACGAAGTAGCCTTTAAGTCAGCAAAAAATTAACACTGCATTTCACCCTCAGTCCCTCCACTCTGATGAGAGCAGATGAGGGACAGGATGAAACTTACTACAACCTTACACTGAAGCCAGACTCTCCACTCCCCCAAAGGCTGAAGCTCCGTACTCAAGTTACTGAAAACTGCCCAATGTGAGGCTTACAGAAAAAAAAGACATGTTTCACATATTCTAATAGAACACTCATCAGAAGGGTTTAACATTACTATATTCATTTTTGTGAATAACTAAATGAAAACGGACTGAAAAATAATTTCTCAGTGTTTGATAATGTGCTTCTCAGCTGCATCTACCAATGAGGGTGTTTTCCACATCCCAGTACTGTACTGCTCTAATCATACCAGTACAACTGAGGAAACACCCTTGTGGCTGCAACTACACCACTATAAACTTATGCCAATCTTACTCCTTCTCTCACAACAATGGAGTCGCTAATTGCAAGAGTATAAAGTGCCTTTATTCCTGTAGAAATATACTTTTGAACTTACACCAAAGCCCAAGTTTTAGTAGCACGAAAAACAAATGAAAGAATGTTGGTAAGAGGTATATGCTGCTGATGTAACTGGACAAATGACAGTGTCTTCCTGTCAGTAATTCCAGCAGATAACTCTTCCAGGGTTTGTGATACTCGGTATCAGCCAAAAAGATCATATGACCATGATGTAATCGGGGGAGTGACAGTGTGTAGACTAAAGGAACTGAATCCTCTGAAACCAGTTTTGCAAAGGAAGTAGTGATCTGCTGAATCTGGTAGGGGTTTTTTGAACAGTACAGCTCAGCTACATTTAACTCCCAGCAAGAAGTTGTGGGGTTTTTTTATTTTTTATTTTTCTTAGTGAGAGTCATCATTTATTCTCAATATTAATCATATCCTTCACAATTAAGTCTTGCAAAATACAGCCATAAACATAAACAGAAGCACACACTGGCTGAGAGCCTGTCTATCATATCAAATACAGTGAATTAAGATTTCACTCACAAATCACCATCCTGCATCACATTAAAATAGTGATATTTCAGACAGAAAACACCAACCTAATCTTACTTCACATAAAAACTTCTAAATGAACAGCACCCAAGTTATATAAGCTGAAGTAGTGAAAAATGCTTTGCTTTTTTATCTGACATGCCTTACACAGCTTTAATTTCTACACTCAATTTTGCTCAGTTTTCCACAAACACTGAGAATATGCAGATACAACTGTAAAATCACAAAAATCAAAAGTGCTATTTCCTAGTAGCCCCTTCTCTTCAGAGAAGCCTGGTTTTCAAGTTAATGGGATCAAACAGAACAGCTGTTCAATGACATAGTCTTAAGAATGGCAATTTGTTGCAATTTTCAATCAAAACATCTGTGTGGTTGTTGCATTCTGAAATTGTATGATTTGCAGGGAGAATAACCATATGCAAGGGCATCCTACACCCTGCTCTCTCCCTGTGTCAGAGCAGAGATTTGCGTATCATTTGGACAGGCTGGATTACAAATGCTCAAAGAACTTGAGCAACAAACCCTCTGCAAAAATGACAGAAAGCAAGAGACCACTTCAATGTGGCCTGGAAAGGGAACTTGAGAAGAGATTCGGTCTGCCTTATCCTAGCCCTGATACTCTGAGGTGACTGAATTAACTCAAAAGTTTCTGTTGATTTTCCTGGGTAGGCCCCTGACTGTTTGTTAAGAGGACAAAGAGACTCTCTGCTACCGAAAAAAATCACTTGTCTGTGAAGCAACTGGTCAACACAACACTATGAACTGTAAAAACTAAAGGGAAACATGATTTGCATCTCTCTGCTTTCACACTAGTGATCATCAGCCTGTGCTATATTAATGATCTCTCCACCCAGCTGCTGCCAGCTCCCTTCGGTATAAAACAGCTAATGGACACGAAGCGCAACAGAGACCTGCTCACACTTACCCTGCTCATAGGCCTCCATCCCACTCTGGTCAAGGGTTTAAGAGCACCGAAAGGCAGAAGGTAATAGAGAATAGTCAGAGGCCAAGAACGGAGTTTCAGAGCAGGCCTAGACATACAGCTTAGCTGGCCCAACCTTCGCCTCAGGGCCAGCTGGGGAAATTGCAACCTGAAAGATTACATACACAACATAAGAGGGTCAGCCATCTCAGCTTCAGAACCACCAGCTTCTGATAGCTGGGGGTGACTTATTCCTGCCAATCTTTATTCAAACATTGCTTTACTCCTCTTGATCAGTTCTTCCCCTTCTCAAAACAGAAGACCAGTTTATCTAAAAAGAAAGAAGAAAAATTCTCTGTCGTCCAAAAAATCATGTTCTCTCTCACACATCACATGTTACAAATGACACCCTCAAAAATTAAGGACAAGATCACTTGCAGGTGACATCTGAAAACAAAGTCAAAGCTGGCTCATCCAACTAACAACATAACATGATAGTCTATGGTGGAAATAAAGAGCAAAGGTGGTTCTTCCATATATCAGAAGATTACATCCTCAGGAAATGGTTCTTGTGACTGCTCCAGCTGTTGGACAGCCAAAGTGGACAACAGCAAATGATATTCTGAAAGCTGGAAATCTGGGACGCTGGGACTTTTAACAAGAACTCTATGCAGGGACAATTTTAAGGAAAGAACTCTTTGAAACCTAATAAACTGAGGTCCCTCAGAGTGTTCATGTGTTGAAGGCATCTTGACTAGATTGTGCCTCAAGTTGTATTTTGTATCACAAAAGATGTTGGAGTCAAATTTACGCAGACCTGTTAGTCATTTGCTAACTTCAGGAAACACGCACTTACTTGAGAAACAACAAGAGTGGCACTCCGGAGTTCATTAATACAATTTACAAATAACTTGACTCCAAAAGACATCTTTTCAAGTCTTAAAAACCTTCACTGGGTACCCTGGTTCTGAACAGAGAACATGTGGCCAGAGTCGATACTGCTAGGGCTGCAAGATAATGTGGTCTCCATAGCCCAATAACCAACTCCTTCGCCTCACAACCAACTGCATCTATGACTTAATAACCAACTCCTTCGCCTCACAACCAACTGCATCTATGACTTTTTGTCATGTGGATGACCTGAGGGGAAACGCATTTTGCACAAATGGCCACGGGGACAAGTTAAACTTGTAACTCTCAGAGGGAAAAGCTGCTCAGCTTATTAGCAGAGGACATGATAGGCCTCAGTTCAGACTCTTGTGGGAGCCTTGGATGAGAGACCCTTCAGGTCCTTGTTTATTCTTTGGCTTCTACTCACAAAGAAACCATTGGCATTTCCAAGGTCACATTATCAAATGAAAGTCTGCCTACCTGAGGGCAAAATATTCAAATCTTCTGGGCAGACTTACATCCTGGCTAAAAGATTGTTCTCCACACACTGCTGAAGGCACTATGCCTGTAACCAGGATACAGCTATGTGCACACACAAGCTGGAAGTGGTATGCTCTGCCTGCTCTGAACAGCTCGCTCTCTCACCGATTTGAGGACATGAAGGATGAACTATAAAATACTGTGCATGTCTTTCCAAGATGGAAAGAATCTGGGAAATTAAAAGGAAGTTTTCTTGCCAACATATTATTTTCAAAACTTGGATCAGAATGAAAATATCATGCAGGCAGGTACAACTGTCACCACTTTGGGATGCAAGATGGTGCTTTTGGCTCAGAGACTTTTTTAATGCAGAGAACACAACTTCTTTTCCCCCAAGAATTAATAAATAAAAAACAGAGAGTGATCTCTGCATCACAACGCAAAGGGGGGAAAAAAACCCAACACCCTCCTGAGGAGATGAAATGCTGTGTCAGCAGAGGTAAAGCCGGCTTTCTTCTCAGCAGGAGGTGGGACTGACTCGGCAGGGGAATAGGAAGGACATGGGAATCAGAAGGGACACTTCACATCCTTCCTCCCACCCTTACCACCCGCCAGCCTGCGGTCTGCTCCGGGGCTGGCGGGGCCGGGTTGCCAGCTCGGAGCGAGCGCGGAGGTCCCGCTCCCCCTCCCACCACTCTCCCCCCCTTCACTGCAGTCGCTGCTGGACCAATCCCTGCAGAGCTGCATCCTGGCAGCTCGCTCCAGAGCCCTCCGGCTTCTTGCTGCCTTGGCCTGGTTTCAGAACAGTCCCTCACTAATTTTTCCATTCTCCTAGTGATGGGAGTAGGGAGGAAAGGAATGAAAGCCTCCTCATTCCCCTTGTTATCTGACAGCATGCCCTTCTCTGCCAACTCAGTGCTTAAGGAGCTTTATAGTAATTAGGCCAAAGAAAAGCTTTGCAGATGGCTGTCGCTCCTTCTGCCCAGCCACCCTCCCATCCTCCCTCCCTCATTTCTCCCTTCAGTCACCATTCCTGCAAAGCAGAAAATTCTAGACAGTACCTGAAACGAGTTCTCCTATTTGGTGTACCACCGGCAGAGCCAGCCCGGCCTGAACTCTCCAGCTGTGGCTGCGGGTCCCTGGCACAGCTGCTGCTGCTGCTGCCGCCGTTCCCTGAACGCGGCCTCCGGACATGAATTTTAACTTTGTGGAGGTTGTAGCAAGAGGGTGGAGGGTTAGATAAAGCTTTATAGCATCTCACCATTTCCCTGTGTGCAGATCTGGTCCCTGCAGGGTGTTTGACTGACACATCGTCAGGGTGACGGTTGTTGCAAGGCTCAGTCTTTTTCTCTACCTCTCTTTCCTTTGCTTGCTCCGGCACAGGAGAGAGGACACGGCGTCACAGTTCCTAATTCCCCCGCTGGTTTGTCTCTGGATTCCCCCTCTGTTTCCCACTTGAATCTCTGCTACGAGGGTTGCAGCTATTGCAAACAAACAGGCATTGTGTCATATTTCAACATCCCACTATAAAGCCGACTCTG